TATTGGAATTCAATTCCACTAATTGCAATAATTGCAACATTCGGAGGTCCCAGATTTGCAATTATTGCAATTATTGGAATTGAATTCCAATACTTGCAACAATTGCAATATTTTCAGGTCCCGGATTTTGCAATTATTGCATTTATTGCAACTATTGGAATTCCAATACTTGCAATAATTGCAATATTCGGAGGTCCCGGATGTTGCAATTTTTGCAATTTTTGGAGTTCAATTCCAATAATTGCAATAATTGCAATAATTGCGATATTCAGATGTCCCGGATTTTGCAAATATTGCAACTATTGGAATTCAATTCCAATGATTGCAATAATTGCAATATTTGGAGGTCCCGGATTTTGCAATTATTGCAATTATTGGAATTAGTCGGCCCGGCTTTGAGGCCAAATCTGGGATCAATTCAATTCCAATAATTGCAATAATTGCAATATTCGGAGGTCCCGGATTTTGCAATTATTGCAATTATTGGAATTGAATTCCAATCATTGCAATAATTGCAATATTTTCAGGTCCCGGATTTTGCAATTATTGCAATTATTGGAATTCAATTCCAATAATTGCAATAATTGCAATATTTGGAGGTACCGGATTTTGCAACTATGCAATAATTGCAATATTCGGAGGTCCCAGATTTTGCAATCTTTGCATTTTTTGGAATTAGTCGGCCCGGCTTTGAGGCCAAATCTGGGATCAACTAATTCTTGCAATTTTTGCAATTTTTGCAATTTTTGCAATTATTGGAATTGAATTCCAATACTTGCAATAATTGCAATATTCGGAGGTCCCGGATTTTGCAATTATTGCAATTATTGGAATTGAATTCCAATACTTGCAATAATTGCAATATTTTCAGGTCCCGAATTTTGCAATTATTGCAATTATTGGAATTGAATTCCAATACTTGCAATAATTGCAATATTTTCAGGTCCCGAATTTTGCAATTATTGCAATTATTGCAAATATTGGAATTCCAATACTTGCAATAATTGCACTATTCGGAGGTCCCGGATTTTGCAATTATTGCAATTATTGGAATTCAATTCCAATAATTGCAATAATTGCAATATTTTCAGGTCCCGGATTTTGCAAGTATTGCAATTATTGGAATTCCAATACTTGCAATAATTGCACTATTCGGAGGTCCCGGATTTTGCAATTATTGCAATTATTGGAATTCAATTCCAATAATTGCAATAATTGCAATATTCAGATGTCCCGGATTTTGCAACTATGCAATAATTGCAATATTTGGAGGTACCGGATTTTGCAATTATTGCAATTATTGGAATTAGTCGGCCCGGCTTTGAGGCCAAATCTGGGATCAATTAAGTATTGCAATTATTGCAATTATTGCAATTATTGCAATTATTGGAATTCAATTCCAATAATTGCAATAATTGCAATATTCGGAGGTCCCGAATTCCAATAATTGCAATAATTACAATATTTTCAGGTCCAGGAATTTGCAATTGATGGAATTATTGGAATTCAATTCCAAAACTTGCAATAATTGCAATATCCGGAGGTCCCGGATTTTGCAATTATTGCAATTATTGAATTAATTCCAATAATTGCAATAATTGCAATATTTGGAGGTACCGGATTTTGCAATTCTTGCAATTATTGGAATTGAATTCCAATAATTGCAATAATTGCAATATTCGGAGGTCCCAGATTTTGCAATTCTTGCAATTTTTGGAATTAGTCGGCCCGGCTTTGAGGCGAAATCTGGGATCAAGTAATTATTGCAATTATTGCAATTATTGCAATTATTGCAATGATTGGAATTCAATTCCAATAATTGCAATAATTGCATTTTTTCAGCTCCCGGAGTTGGCAATTATTGCAATTATTGCAATTCAATTCCAATAATTGCAATAATTGCAATATTTTCAGGTCCCGGATTTTGCAGTTATTGCAATTACTGGAATTGAATTGCAATAATTGCAATATTCGGAGGTCCCGGATTTTGCAATTATTGCAATTATTGGAATTCAATTCCAATAATTGCAATAATTGCAATATTTGGAGGTACCGGATTTTGCAATTCTTGCAATTATTGGAATTGAATTCCAATAATTGCAATAATTGCAATATTCGGAGGTCCCAGATTTTGCAATTCTTGCAATTGTTGGAATTAGTCGGCCCGGCTTTGAGGCCAAATCTGGGATCAATTTACTATTGCAATTATTGCAATTATTGCAATTATTGCAATTATTGGAATTCAAATCCGATAATTGCAATAACTGCAATATTCGGAGGTCCCGGATTTTGCAATTATTGCAATTATTGAAATTGAATTCCAATACTTGTAATAATTGCAATATTTTCAGGTCCCGGATTTTGCAATTATTGCAATTCTTGGAAATCAATTCCAATAATTCAATAATTGCAATATTTGGAGGTACCGGAATTTCAATAATTGCAATAATTGCAATAATTAATTGATCCCAGATTTGGCCTCAAAGCCGGGCCGTCTAATTCCAATAATTGAAATAATTGCAAAATCTGGGACCTCCGAATATTGCAACTATTGCAATTATTGGAATTCAATTCCAATAATTGCAAGAATTGCAAAATCCGGTACCTCCAAATATTGCAATTATTGCAATTATTGGAATTGAATTCCAAGAATTGCAATAATTGCAAAATTCGGGACCTGAAAATATTGCAATTATTGCAAGTATTGGAATTCAATTCCAATAATTGCAATAATTGCAAAATCCGGGACCTCCGAGTATAGCAATTATTGCAATTATTGGAATTGAATTCCAATAATTGCAATACTTGCAATAATTGCAATAGTTAATTGATCCCAGATTTGGCCTCAAAGCCGGGCCGACGAATTCCAATAATTGCAATAATTGCGAAATCCGGGACCTCCGAATATTGCAATTATTGCAATTCAATTCCAATAATTGCAATAATTGCAAAATCCGGGACCTCCGAATATTACAATTATTGCAAATATTGGAATTGAATTCCAATAATTGCAATAAATGCAAAATCCGGGACCTCCAAATATTGCAATTATTGCAATTAATGGAATTGAAATCCAATAATTGCAATAATTGCAAAATCCGGGACCTCCGAATATTGCAATTATTGCAAGTATTGGAAATCAATTCCAATAATTGCAATAATTGCAAAATCCGGGACCTGAAAATATTGCAATTATTGCAATTATTGGAATTCAATTCCAGTAATTGCAATAATTGCAATAATTGCAATAGTAAATTGATCCCAGATTTGGCCTCAAAGCCGGGCCGACTAATTCCAATAATTGCAATAATTGCAAAATCCGGTACCTCCAAATATTGCAATTATTGCAATTATTGGACTTCACTTTCAATAATTGCAATAATTGCCAAATCCGGGACCTCCGAATATTGCAATTATTGCAATTATTGGAATTCAATTCCAAAAATTGCAATAATTGCAAAATCCGGGACCTCCGAATATTGCAAGTATTGCAATTATTGGAATTGAATTCCAATAATTGCAATAATTGCAAAATCCGGAACCTGAGAATATTGCAATTATTGCAATTATTGGAATTGAATTCCAATAATTGCAATAATTGCAAAATCCGCGACCTCCAAATATAGCAATTATTGCAATTATTGGAATTGAATTCCAATAATTGCAATAATTGCAATAATTGCAATAATTGCAATAATTGCAATAATTAATTGATCCCAGATTTGGCCTCGAAGCCGGGCCGACTAATTCCAATATTTGCAATAATTGCAAAATCCGGGACCTCCAAATATTGCAATTATTGCAATTATTGGAATTGAATTTCAATAATTGCAATAATTGCAAAATCCGGGACCTCCGAATATTGCAATTATTGCAATTATTGGAATTCAATTCCAATAATTGCAATAATTACAAAATCCGGGACCTGAAAATATTGCAATTATTGCAAATATTGGAATTGAATTCCAATAATTGAATAATTGCAAAATCCTGGACCTCCGAATATTGCAATTATTGCAATAATTAATTGATCCCAGATTTGGCCTCAAAGCCGGGCCGACTAATTCCAATAATTGCAATAATTGCAAAATCCGGTACCTCCAAATATTGCAATTATTGCAATTATTGGAATTGAATTCCAATAATTGCAATAATTGCAAAATCCGGGACCTCCAAATATTGCAATTATTGCAATGATTGGAATTGAATTCCAATAATTGCAATAATTGCAAAATCCGGGAGCTGAAAATATTGCAATTATTGCAATTATTGGAATTGATTTCCAATAATTGCAATAATTGCAAAATCCGGGACTTGAAAATATTGCAATTATTGCAATTATTGGAACTGAATTCCAATAATTACAATAATTGCAAAATCCGGGACCTGAAAATATTGCAATTATTGCAATTATTGGAATTGAATTCCAATAATTGCAATAATTGCAAAATCCGGGAGCTGAAAATATTTCAATTATTGCAATTATTGGAATTGATTTCCAATAATTGCAACAATTGCAAAATCCGGGAGCTCCGAGTATTGCAATTATTGCAATTATTGGAATTGAATTCCAATAATTGCAATAATTGCAAAATCCGGGACCTGAGAATATTGCAATTATTGCAATTATTGGAATTGCATTCCAATAATTGCAATAATTGCAATAATTAATTGATCCCAGATTTGGCCGCAAAGCCGGGCCGACTAATTCCAATAATTGCAATAATTGCAAAATCCGGGACCTCCAAATATTGCAATTATTGCAATTATTGGAATTCAATTCCAATAATTGCAATAATTGCAACATTTGTTCGATTCCAATAGTTCCCATAATTATTGCAACTGCGGGAAACCAGCTCCAAATATGCAAACAATTAGAATTTCACTCCAACAATTGACTCAAAGCTGGAACCAGCCTGAACGACACATAGGGTATGATCTTCCCTCTTACCCCACCCCCCCGCCCCCTCACCCCCCCGCAAATAAATTGGATGAGACACCCGGCCACATGGACATTCGCGGGCACCGTGTCAGCGCCTGCGAATTCACCGCCTCCTCGAGCGCTTTGCACGCCGTTGCCAGGGCCCCCCGTGTGGGCTGAAACACGGAAATGGACAAGCGCTCTATGTACTTTGTGGCTATGATGCAAATGACAATACAATAACCCACATTAATCTTCCACGTGCTTTGCAGAAACGGCTTTTGGAATGCAACTTGGAAGTGTAGGGAAAAGCATTGCCTGATGCCTAGCGATGCAAACAGTATTTGCGAAGGTAGGCGCAAAGCGTTTCAGGCAATCGCGCAAATGCTGTTAATTATGCTCCTATGCTGTGATGCGGCCAAGCAGTGAGCTGGCTGTCATGTACCGTGGTACGCTGTGTCTGTACGCGCTGTCTTGGCTGTTGGCGCTGTCTGCGCTGTGCAGTCCATGACATTGCCAGGCGCTGGGAAACAAGACAGCAGCATGCGACTTGCTAATATGAAATCCTTGGCCTGGAGTTCCCCAAAGCACGTTCCTCACGACTCTCGAAGCTGTTTGTGTTTGATATGGTTGGGGCTTCAGCCCTGTCTTTTCACAGCAACAGACCACCAAACATCGGGGAAACCAAAAGGACGGCTTTGGGCAAGTTTGTGTTTTTTGTGGGGGCTTCTCAAAATATCAAATCGGGCGGGCCCTTAAGGGGAAGCCTACGTTAAGGATTTACATGGGGTTGGTCATAGACATCTGAGGCTCGGTCGGCCCAAACCCCACAACCCCTGCAAACCTGACCGGGTTAGTTTACTGGGCTGTCCTCAGATCCCCCGCTAAAAGTTTAACTTTTACTGGGTTAAATGCAAATCCCCACTAAACACTAAAAGGCTAAAAACCTAAGGGGACTGGGAGCCACCAAGTTTAAATAAGGGAAACCAAAAGGAAAACCATAACCTTTGGGGTCCCTATTTGCCCCCCCCCCCCCCGCTTCCCAACAAAAAAACAAGGTCTCTATACTTACCAACGAAGCATCGGCGCATCCCGCGTCCCTCACTTCCATTTCTAGTCTTCTCCAAGGCAACATGGAACCACTTTTACAAGGACACTCTCCAGCAGGCAAAAATCGAAATTTCCCTCCCCTAATTCCATGTTCAATCGCAACTTGGGCTAGAATTGAAAGTCACACCTCGTCAATTCACACATGAAAGCGTTGCGAAAGCGGTCACCCATGTCTTGTTGGCACATGCTTAAATGGTGAAACGCGATATTCGCGTCGACCGCAACCCATGAGTTGGCCATGAAAAACTGGCATCTGACCCGGTTCAAGGCTGGATGGCAAAAGGTCTCTCTGATCGGTTTACAGAAAAGCACCAACCTCACAAGCGCCCAAATGTCAAAAGGGCTGTTCCTTCGCTCAGCATATTGTTGGACCTCCCCCAACTCTTGCCACCTCCATGACATGCACTGTGAAGCATCTGTTCTTGCAGAAACCTGCTTTGAAGAACAACACAGCCTGCACGGATCAAAGTGAACACAACTTAAACTCGAAGCCTACGCAACACGCAAAGTCTGCGCAACTTGAGAGGCATCCACCCTGCTGTGTGTGTTTGCGGCCATGAGGGGCTGTGAATGTGGAAAGAAGAACGTGTGTTTGGCAATCTGTGCATGCAGCCACCATGGATGGATGTAGCCTGGTTGCAATTCTCAGTCATTATTTTCCCAGATTCTATCGTAGCAAGCACCCACGCACACAGACACGTCTAAGGAATGATCCACAATTCCGCTCGCCTCCAATGATGTCACCAAGCGCGTGAGAACCACAAACTTGAGCGACTCCTCCACAATGCCTGGGCGTGCTGTGTATCCGCTGTGTACGTGCGTGCGTGCGTACATGGGTGCGTGTGTGGGTGTGAGTGTGCGTGTAGGGCCGTTTTGAGACTCTCCGAGCCGGGGCGAGCACATGAATAGTATTTGCCTGGAACCATCTGGCTGGCAGCAGCAGCAACGGAAGTGTCAAAACATAGCTGTCGACAGAACTAGCAACCCGCCAAAGCAAGCAATCAAGCGAGTGAGCAAGGACGAGAGCAGCCAACCACGAAACTGACCAACCAAACAAGCAATCGGCAAACCACTCGGCCAACATGTCAATCCACAGAAGCAGGCAAGCCAGCCAAACGACCAGGCAACAAGCCACCCCGCACGTGGTTGCAGGGAACTACCTTTTCTGTGATTGTCAAATTTCACTTCAATGCATATCACAGAAAACTGTCTTAAACACTAACTTTCCGCAACCATGACCCCGTTATTCGCGCCTGGAGTGAGAATCCATTCCAGGGCCGCCTTCCCCACGCAGCTGGCGGAGGGGGCGTCAAAGGGCCAGCTTGGACCTGAGTGGAGTTTGGGAAAAACAGTTGCCTCAACTGGCTCCAAGCCCCAACCAGTGACAAATAGAAAACCAAAATCCGGCAAATTGTGAAGCCGATGCAAAACGAACCGTCCTGTTGGACGTTGTGGTCTCCGAGGCATTTAAACTGGAAATGAGTTGTTTAGCTCCGACACATCGTCACTGTACTTGTCAGTTTCCCTTCAAAAGCTACTGCCAGGACTCCGGAACACTGCTGTTTCTCTGGTTGAATGCGCATGGGCCGATTCTTTAGTCCATGCTACCCCTCAATCGAAGGGCCTGAGATGGGCCTCCAAGCGCCCCTCTTCTGCCCAGAATAACATGGACACTGCAACAACCCCGAAAACATATCCACAACTTGGGGTTCTTCCAAGCTCCATATCATCTGAGGGGACAAACGACTGGATCCCCCATGGGCCAGCACGAAGCTGTCAGGCATGATCCTCCGCTTCTTCGTTTTGCAATCTCCTTGCCAGGACCTTCTGCTTTCCATGGCCCACCCTCCTTCGTGCTCTTAGGGAACAGGTGCCCAATTCGGTGGATGCTCGTTGCAGGAGCAGAAGTCCTTCTGAAGCTCACCGTACAAACGAGGAGACTCAACTGGACCTCCTAAACTGCAAAAGCGTCGGGCACGCTCGTTTTATCACCGGGGAGGCTCGCCGTGAGGCGACCATCCTGCTCGTATTTGTTTCTCATTGTTTCGGCATCCATGCGCCTTGAAGTCATGCTGCAAACAGGCCGTCTGCTTTTGCAGGCCATGATCCTCCTTCTGCAAAAGGGAATCATAGTCCCAGAACTGCTCCCGTCTTCTCCAGAAACCATAAACCAACGAGTTGACGACCATCCCTCTCAAGCCTCCGTCCAGTAAGTGACCCTCGTACACAGGTTGGCCAGGATGACACTTCTGCCATGCAGCGGGTCATCCCTTGCAAGGGGCGTCCGCTGGTGCCCCGAAAACAACGAATCCTCCCAGACAATAGACAAGTGCCCGCCTTGGGGAATTGCGGCGTTGCAGGTTGGATCCAGCGATTGCCAGAACAGCAGCAGAGCAGTGTTGAAAACGCCTGGCGCAAGGGCTCGGAGCATCTTTCAGATCACAGAACTCATGAAGATCTTACCGTGGGACTCATAATGGACACAACACACCCTTTGCACAAAGGCACGCTTCCTTTCGCAGGGTACCCTCCATTGCAGCAACGGCCTTGCTAATTAAACGCATTTGCGTTACCTGGATCTGTGGCCACACGCAAACCTGCTCCAAGATGGACAAACAACAAACCCAAAGACTATCCTAGACACGGCCACCCCCAAGCGCCACACGTCCCGCCCCCCACCCACCTTAGGGCCAGCCTTGCACCCAAGCTCGCACCCAGCCTCCCCCACAACCATCCCCTAGCCAGCTCAAGTAAGCTCGTCCGTGCCTAAATTTGGCTTCGCATAACGAAACGGAAATCCCCTCTTCTCTCCGTCGTCAATTCTTTCATCGCTCTCCCCCACAGACAACCAAAAACGAAACCCAAGCAACAGAGACGCTTGTGGAAAAGCATCATGTCTGACTGGGATGAGCTTTGTAGCAAACACATGCTTGTAAAGCTACTGACCAGCTATCGAGCCCTCAGTATAAGCAAGCAAGAAGAGGGTGAAATCAAAGTCGGAGAATCCTTTACTTCAGCCTGGAAAGCCACTGGAGGCTTGCGCCAGTGAGTTTCCTTCGGCACCGGCACCATTCTATTCTCGGGAGGGCTGACAAAATGGTGATTCTTTTCGGGGAGCCTGCGTGCCTGCAACAAACAAGCAAGCAAGCAAAGCAAGCAAACCAACCACCAAACCAATACCGACCATACAAAACAGTAAGCAAGCAAGCCGGCAGGCAGGCAAGCAAGGAAGCAAGCAAGCGAGAAGAACACCAAAAACAAGCAACCAAGCAAACAAGCAAGCAGGCAGGCAGGCAGGCAAGCAGGCAAGCAGGCAAGCAGGCAAACAATCAAGCAACCAACCACAGCCGCACAACCAACAACCAAGCAACCACACAACCAAACAATGAAGCACACATCAACACAAACAACCAAACATGACTCTGACTCAAGCACGTGCCTGCCAGCTCGGTCGAGAAAATGGCTCCAGACCAGAAGAAGCTCATCATGAACCCGGCCTCTTCAGACAGAACCGAGCGGCTGACGGGAGGCAAACGGCTGACTGATATGGTCACCAAGTGCTAGGAAACTACACAAGAGTTTCGTGGAATGCAACAGAAACCGCCTTTGCAGTTTAGTCAGCCTTCCAAATCCCAAGGCATGTGCGTGCTCTGAATGAGTCTGCGTAATAGAGTAAGCCAAAACCTGCAATTGCGCTGACGCACGGCCGGCCTTCACGGGATGTTTGGTGATTCTGTTGGCCAAGAACCTCAGTCTTCGGCTCAAGCTAAGCGAGGAGGAACCACCAGCACAGCCCTCGTGCAAGCCCTACGTTATGTTTGACCCTGACTGATCTTCAGAGATTTGTGACCCGCAAACCAACACGAAAAAGTCACTATTTGCCCAACGCAGAGATGGAGCGCTACGACCGAACAAATCTCCCCGGGGCGCGCGCCAAGCAGGCACCAGCACAACCTTGGGTGCGGGGTGGGTCATGATTTGGATTTGGATCCATGAGTTGTTTTTCGTGCTTTTGATTTGGTGGGCCTTGCCGGGCCATATGGTCAAATTTTGGCGTCAGGGAACGTCATGAGATTTGGCCGCGGACAGGCTTAGTTCTGTGCTGCTGGGGACACTTCTTGAACTCACCGCATGAAAGTACGTATATACTTCTAGAAGATATTTATATACAGCGGCGCCCCCCCCCCCCAAGATCCGCGCCTCTGGTTTGCAGCCATTGTTGCTGGACAGATGGACATGCGCTTTTCTTACAGTGGCTGCAAAAGCAGTGTTTTGTGATACAGTCTATCTGCTTCTGCACCCACCACTTTAACTAGAAGATGGGTGGCCCGGAAGCAATAGCAGCGAGTTTCAAGCAAGTTCTCTGCGCAAGTTGCTCTGGGCAAGTTGTTGGCGCGAGTTCCTCTGAGCAAGTTCTCCAAGCAAGTTCTCTCAGCAAGTTGCTCTGAACAAGTGGTTGGCGCGAGTTCCTCTGAGCAAGTTCTCCAGCAAGTTCTCTGTGCAAGTTGCTCTGAGCAAGCTGCTGGCGCGAGCTCCTCCGAGCAAGTTCTCCAAGCAAGTTCTCTGTGCAAGTTGCTCTGAACGAGTTTCCTCTATTCGCATAACCACTTTCGTACATTAAAGTTGCGATTGTCCAGCCGGAGCGGCGAAAGTGTACTTCGCGTACGCTTAAATTCACCTTCATGGAGCAGAAAAGAAGTTTTGGGGGGCTGCGTACCTCTTCAAGAAGGACCTTCCATGGTTTTGAGCTCC